GGGGGCATGTGGTGGCTCCCCGTGGCCCCCCCCAACCACACACACTGCATGTTCCTGTTGCTGCCCCAGCGCTGACAGGCAGAGCCGGGCTCCAGCGCAGTCCGTGCAGGCTTTTATTTGAGCCAGAGGAGGGCTCACGGCGCCGGGCGCCCCGGAGCCCCAGGCAGTGTGGCCTGAGGCCAGGCGGTGTCCCACGACCTGGGGCAGAAGAGGGGAGGCTGAGGACAGGGCTGCCTGCCCCAGTGCTGCAGCCCTGCCAGGGCGCGTGCTAAGGGGCAGCAAGGCCCGTGGGGGCAGGTGCTACTCACTGGGCCTCGGCTTTTGAGATCTGTCTGCCGGAGAACAGGGCTTCGGCCACCACGGAGACCAGGGGGTCGAAGTTCAGGCTGGCAGCGGCGATCACGTAATCATCCCTGCAAGAGAGACTCCCCCTAGAGCAGTGTTTCTCAACCCGTGGTACGAGTAGCCAGGGGGATACTCTAGAGCAGTCCAGGGCATACATCACCACAACTGAAATTTGGAGAGAACCGAATTTTTGTGTTAAGTTTTTCAGCACTTTATTATTTCTTCACTTTTTACACCCAAAAATTTCCTCACCCACCTCGGCTACGATTAAGTTGTTTAAACAAACGTGTTGCAAGGGTAGAAGAAAATTGTCTGAAAACTGTCGGGGCTGTGTCCACACTGGGAAGTTATTCCAGAAAATCAGCCACTTTTCCAGAAAAACTTGCCAGGTCTACACTGGCCACTTGAATTTCCGGAAAAGCCCTGACGCTCTCATGTAAAACCATCAGTGCTTTTCCGGAAAAACTATGCTGCTCCTGTTCGGGCAAAAGTCTTTTTCCGGAAAACTGTTCCGGGAAAGGGCCACTGTAGACAGCGCAGTAGAGTTTTCCGCAAAAAAGCCCCGATGGCGAAAATAGCGATTGGGGCTTTTTTGCCGAAAAGCGCATCTAGATTGGCCACGGATGCTTTTCTGGAAAAAGTGCTTTTGCGGAAAAGCGTCCTGCCAATCTAGATGCACTTTTCCAAAAATGCTTTTAACGGAAAACTTTTCCATTAAAAGCATTTCCAGAAAATCCTGCCAGTGTAGACGTAGCCTAGGGAGTGGGGGTACTTGTAACTTTATTTTTAAAGGGCGCTTTATAAAACAAGTTAAACGCTGCCCTAGAGCGCCAGGGCCTGGCCGCCTTGTGCGGGGTTCTGGGCTGGCGCTGGTCTCCCCTGGGTCCGGGGACGGCAGCGCCGAGGCCTGGCCGAGGGGGGGCCTGTTGGTGTGCTCCGTGCGCGGGGGGAGTGGGCACAGCGCAGGTGCTGTCCTTCCTGCTTCTCCCCTAGTGCTGCCGTGGCTCAGGCGCCGGCTCTTGGGCCCCACGTTCTGAACCTCCAAAGGAAGCTTTTCTAGAAGCTTCTCTGCCAGCTGGTGTGGAGGCCTGTCCCGCCCCCACCCTGCTGCTGTGGGGCGCCCCTGCCGTTCAGCCGTGCCCCTCCCCAGGGCCCCCTCCCGGCCAATGCGCCAGCCCGGTCTGGCTCTGACGGGCCAAGAGTCCCCAACCAGTTGGGCCAGTGCCTCACTTGATGTAAAAGACAAAGAACTCCAGCTGCTCCGGATTTCCCTTCACCACCGTGTCGGTGTAGCCGGCCCCGTGGCCTGCAGGCACAAGAGGCCCTGTAAGTCCGGTGCCCTGAGAGGTGCAGGGGCTGTGCTCTAGGTTCTGTGCCAGCGGTTCCACCTGTTCTAGAAGAGTCCCCAACCAGTTGGGCCAGTGCCTCACTTGATGTAAAAGACAAAGAACTCCAGCTGCTCCGGATTTCCCTTCACCACCGTGTCGGTGTAGCCGGCCCCGTGGCCTGCAGGCACAAGAGGCCCTGTAAGTCCGGTGCCCTGAGAGGTGCAGGGGCTGTGCTCTAGGTTCTGTGCCAGCGGTTCCACCTGTTCTAGCCCGTGGTCCCGCACACACATTCACCAGTTTTGGTGCCTGGTAATATCTGCATATTTGTGATGGTAATAATGAATATGCAAACAATTTTACCAGTCCGCCAAAAGTTTTTGTGAATGGGTTTGCTGGTCCCCGCTATAATAAAGGTTGGGGACCACGGCCTTTGATAATTATTTTAGTTTCCTCTTCCCAGGTTCACTTCATATCAGAAAAAGGTCTCCCTTAGCCAAACCATGAGAGATGGGTTACAGCACAGGACCGCTGGTCTGACCCAGTATGGCCATTCTTGTTTTCCCAACAGTGGCTAATGCCAGGTGCCCCAGAGGGAGTGAACAGAACAGAGAATCAAGTGATCCAACCCCTGTCACCAGTTCCCAGCCTCTGACAAACAGCAGCTATGGACACTATTACTGCGCATCCTGGTTAATAGCCACTGATGGCCCTGTCCTCCATGAATTTATCTAGCTTTTTTTGAACCCTGATATAGTCTTGGCCTTCTCAACATCCTCTAGGTAAGGAGTTCCACAGGTTCACTGTGCTGTGTGAAGAAAAAAAAAATATATTGATTTTTTTTAAAAAAAAATCAAATTTGGATTCTTGTAGTTGCTTTTTGGATTTTGAGCCTTTAGGAACCACACTTTTGAGGTTTTTTCCCCTGCAGCCATGAGGGCTGAGAAACGTGCTCCCCCCCCCCCCCCCCCCGCGAC